CGAACATTTTCTACGATAATGTTATTACCTACCCCTCCCATAATCACCTTCTCATCCTCAAGCTATCTTCCTTAATCACATCATTCACGACCTATCGGTACCTCTAGAATTCCCTCCTACCCATTCCGAATTTCTCTCCCTCTTGATTTCTCCGCTATTGCCTTCAGTGCCTACTCCCTTCGCTCCTTCCTTCCAAAATAGTAATAATTTTGGGGCAACCTCACTCATCTCAATCGCGAGCTCCCAGCAGAGCCTCCTTGGCTTCTCCCATCACCACTTCCGTCTTATCCCGCTGTCTACAACATACCAATTTCCCTCCTCCCTACTAAATTCTAAGTAAGCTGTACCAATTACTAATTACAAAGAGTTGCCATAGAGACCAACCAATCCCCTTTTGCCGGAAGAGCTCATATGCAGCGCATCAGGAACCACCGCCGGGTCTCACCCCACATTCTACATCACCTTTTCCAGCTTCTCGTTCATAATAGCGGGCCACTTGAGCACCCCCTACTCGTCCTGATCTCCATTCCTTCTCATTCCACCAAGCTTCGACCACGCCTTACATTCTAATTGCCACCTCCTACAGACCAATTTACTCTCGGTGGAGACCCATCCTCGGACCCCGAGCTTCCTTCCTAGATTTAGTATTTGGCGACCGAGCTAGTTGTTGAAGGGGAGGATGACGCGCGGGGAACCTATGAGGAGATTTTACGCCTTGTTCTGACTGAATTCGAAGGCGGTTTTCGGCGCGTCAACGAGGTTCATGCTATGGCCGCTCAGTTGTCTGCTGTGGTCCGTAAGTTTGTTGACCGAGGTGCGAAAACTGTTGGGCGGTGATTAGGTGCTCGGCTGGGATGGGGGGGCTTGATGTTAAGAATGTGCTTGATGTGAGGGGGGGGCTTGGATACTGGCTTGGCATAGTATTGTCGAAGCAGAAGAGGAAAAAAGGAAGTATGAGCTTTCAGAGAAGACAGGGAAGTGGCCACCTTGCCGGGGTGGGAAGGCTCTCCCGGCGCCGAGGAAGAGGAGCGGATTGGGGGCAGTTATTGTCGCGGCTCTCGGACGATACTCTGTTTACCCCTCGAGTACCGGATATCAATTTCGAAAACCTACACTGCACGGCGGGCGCCCTGACGGAGTAGAATAAGGCTTAGTCGACATAGCTCTACTATCTGATCATTTCTACAAACAGAATCCTACCAATATGAGTTCATTTTTTGGCTGCCAACCCATTGAGCAACTCTGGTCACAACTAAATCCGAATGGCTTTGTCCTTGCGATCATCGAAATCGGCGCGCGAATGAGCTTCTTGGATGTCGCCTACGCCCGCTCCACAATCCTAGAGGACTACATCAGGAACGCTGACAAAGTTTTTCGATCCCCCCCGACCCGGAATGCTGGTGGCTTCGCCCACCCCCCTATCGAAAAGGAGAACGTTACTGTAATGGCCCCTTGCAAGAACCAAGAACGATGCCCCGTGTTCCCCGCTGGCCCCACTGACGGCACCAACCACAAAGACTACTGTCTAATGTCTATGGCAAATTTTCTATGAAGATTTACAAAGGAAATTCACTCACGGAAAATGTCTTTGGCAATAATAATACTGAATCATATCTTCCTTGTATGGAGTTGATAACTCTGAGGAACCTCGGGTACCGAGTTCGGTATTTAGCCAAAAGCATGCAGATACGGCCGTGAGCTAGGTGAATGCTCAATGGCTAGATGATATGTAGGATATCTTTGATCTATTATTTGAACACAAAGAGCCCGGAATTTTGTGCAATACGTAGAGAAGCGCGAGCCGTGCATACGGGCGCTTCGGGATAGTTTCTTAGGTGAAGATCTACTTATAATGAGAAGAGAATATGTTAGCAATTTCCTCGATGGAAAACCCGAACTTACTCCGAGCAGCTCTTCACTGCCTCTTACACCATTCATCCTTCCCTGTTCTTATCGCTTTTTAGAGTTTTCCCGAAAGGGTTGGAGGAGAAGTCAGCCTCCTCCTTTGTTAGGTACTTTTCTTCCTCTTCCCTCCTTCTCCCCCCTTCCCCTTTTCCATTTCCCTCCTCTGGTGGTGATAAATTTGCTTTATCTACTCATACAATCGCAAAGCAAAGGACGAGTTTATAAGAACAAGAGTGTTCGGAGAAAATAAATAGCTTTGGCAATGATGAATTCCCGGGTGGGATCGAACCTCATTATAAGATCTCCAAGTTTCCAATTGCCTGTAAAGTGCCCACTTCTAAACACGATTGGCGCCGTCACCTTACCAGGAGCACGTGCGACCCACGCGCAATCACTCGGGTTTCGAATTAGGTGTCGAGGGAGCTCCCCATCAGAGGACTCAGCCATAGGACGAGAGAGGCGGCCGTTGATTCTTGTGAACCCTACGAGTAGTATCCTGCGATACATTTCCAGTAACTCGGAGGCGGTACTGAAGCTACTAACTCGGCTCATTAGGAGCTAAGTCTATCTTGGTTCATACATTGGGAATTTCTACCTCTTACCATGAGTACAGCATTCTACAGCGGTAGCTAGCACATAAGGGGTTCATGCTGGCTCTGCATCAATGAGCATAATCGCCAGTTTGACCGAAAACCAAGTTATCATACCTTCGGAGTTCGCTCGAGGCCGCGAGGTATTGTCCTCCGGGTTTAGTCGATCCCTCAAAAAAGAATGTTTCCCACGAGGGACAGGCGTGCCGGTGGGGGGATACACAAATATTTTGCCATAGCTTGACCTTTATTACATAATAATTATGCAAATAGCATTGGCACGGTAGTCTTGGACAAGCGGAAATGCCCGGAATTGTTTTTGGTAAAGCCATCTGGCACTTTTTTTTATTTTATTTTATTTGAACAATCCCAAATTTCAAGTTGCCACCTCATTCCCTCTTATCTCGGTGCGCGCTCAGAAATGAGGAGCTTCAGTTGGGTTTGTGGTTTTCGAGGGGGAGAAAAAAATGTGACAAAAGACTCTAATACCCATTCAATAACAGTAAGGTCTTGATATATCATACAATGGCTTGGTGTAGGAAAGCACCTAATCAGTTTATCAAAACTCCACGGCGGAGAGCACCCCCCACGCTGTAAATCTCTTCGATAACCGAAATTTCGTCTCAAGAACGAGAGATCCTTGGCAAAGCCGTTTCTCATGTCGGATTCACCTCTAACATGCGTGGAAAACTGAGGCACCTATTCCCGATGCTCGAGAGGGGGGGCGTAGGGGTAATTATATAACGAAACACGAGTATCATACTCAGTTTGCAGGAACACCAAGATTTCCCAACGTTTTCCCATAGCCCTCGCGCCTCCTGATTCCGGATAGGCTTAATCCAATCAGATGGCAGTTATTGTGTTCCTATAATTTCGACATTCGGAGCATGTTGGTGCAATTGAGGTGCTCTAACATTTTTCTTACTATGATATCTCTTTCTTAATCATGTGGGCATTGCAGCATCTCCCCGATCTGAAAGCCCCTGGAGGAAAAGGCTCGTATGGAGTCTGGGACTTCTCAGGGTTTCTCAATGCCATTTGCTTGCCAGCAGGAATCATGCGTGAAATTTACCCCGCTTTGTTCTTTCCTTCTCATTCCACACCGGGCCGTCATGTATTCTTGCCCTACAGAAGCTAAGTATCAGAGGAATGATACCTGTGTTGCGATAAGATGCGCAGTAGCAAGCACCGGTGAGTATGCCTCTGGGTGGATGGAAGTTGTGGCTCCGAAATATTTTACTTTCGCCTCCAACACGGGTTCTGACGAGTATCCTGTGAGTTCTGTCCACAACTAAACCCACCAGCTGGAGCTTGAAAATGTTGTCCGATATTGTGAATACCTAAAAGGGGGCTCTCTGGAAATGTCTAAATTCACTTCTTCCTGGTGGTTGTATTTCGGTGCGGTACGCTGTGCAAGAGGATGCCCCAAACTAGACCGCTCTAGTGAGGCTCGGAATGATATGGCTCCTTGATAATCCTTAGAAGGAAATATCCTCCAGGTGCTCAGCGATTTCAGCAAGTGAAACCGAAGCGAGTGAGAACATATGAATCTCGCAATCTCTAAACCTCCCAACTTTCTTAAGAGATGGTGGAGAGCCGTACTCGGTATAGCAATGCGAATGTATGATACCCAGGCACACTAGGAGTCCCCGAAATTTGCACCAATTCTGTAATTAGCGCAATGTGTTAAAGAAGGTTATAATATGGTACATTATGAGCTTATATTGGGTTTGCGTTTAATAAGACCGACCCCCGAGAAACATTTGTCCGTGGTGGGATCGCCACCCGAGAACCTGATAGATGTAGTGATAAGTCGCCCGCTTTTGAGTGAGTGACAGAATCTGAACATCGACGATATGGCTTGTGGTTTGAAGGAATCGCGTCCCCGGCACTGACTATTGCGGTACTTCTATTCCCTACGCTGGGGACAGACTCAGTCAAAGCGTTTTGGAAGGCTGGTGTTAGGATTACAGGACAGTCACAGGAAGGAGAATTGGAATCTAGGAGGGTGGGAATAGGTTGACCGTGGAAAGGGAGGCGTGAAGAATAAGACAATGTGATTGATGGCTGTTATGTTAGGGAATTCAAGTTGCCATTGAGAAAGGGAAAAAAGAAAGGAATGGAAAGTTGGAAGGGAAGGGATGATGCAAGCTGCCGGAGGGAATTATGGTAATGATATGTATGCAGAAATTCCAGCAGTTGGGCTTTCAGTATAATTCAAGCTACTTACAATGGTTACAATCGGGCACCAAGAGGATTCTCACGCGGAGAGAGCCATATCTTAGGTATGATACTTTGCGGGTGATTTCTGCACCGGAAGCCGAGTATTTTTTGTTCCAAAGAGCCTCGACACGAGAAGTTAAGGAGGAAAAAGGAAAAAGGGTTCTGAGGCGGAAGCCCGCATCAAAAAGCGCCCCGGCCCCCAGGCACGATCGCGGGAAAAAAAAAAAAGGATGAGTAAGCGATCCCACCTCAAGTCAAATTAGCCTTACTAGTAAAAAAATTCAAAAAACATCGTGTTTTCCCACCATTGTTTTAATTTCCATTCACCTCTTCCTTATCGCCCAGAATGGCTTCCTGGAGAGCAATTTTTGCTCCGCTCTTCAGAAGCGCCGCAAGGTTCTCCGAGAGTTTCGCTGCCAATTCGTGCAGAGTTTCCTCCAAATACCCACTGTCTCGCAAATCAAATGTCTCAAGTCCTATAATCAGCTCCATTCGGTCGATGGCCACCTATGAGAGGAAGAAGCCCCATGTTAATATCGGTGTGATTGACATTTGTCTCTTTTTTTCTTGAAAATTATCGCTGATTCACTCTTTTATTTTCATTCGATAGGTACCATTGGACATGTCGATCACGGAAAGGTTAGTGGTCAATGCAATTGGCGCCTAATGAGTGCAAATATTCTAATGGCAATAGACTACTTTGACCGCTGCTATCACGAAACATTTGTCTTCAAAGGGACAGGCTGATTTCCATGATTATGCTTCTATCGATAAAGCCCCGGAGGAGCGGGCCCGTGGTATCACTATATCGGCCGCCCACATTGAATACGAAACCGGTTCCCGTCATTACTCCCACGTCGATTGCCCCGGACACGCTGATTACATCAAGAACATGATCACCGGTGCTGCCTCTATGGATGGTGCTATCATTGTTGTTGCTGCTTCCGATGGTCAAATGTAGGATTTCTTCACGATTTTGAGTGGTTGCCACATCCAATGCTAAGGTCCGTCTTAGGCCCCAAACTCGTGAACATCTCCTACTCGCTCGCCAAGTCGGTGTCCAAAGAATTGTCGTTTTTGTCAACAAGGTCGATGCTCTCGAGGATGCAGAAATGTTGGAACTCGTCGAAATGGAAATGCGTGAACTTCTGTCCACATACGGCTTCGATGGTGACGAAACTCCAATTGTCATGGGGTCTGCCTTGTGTGCTCTTGAGGGGCGTCGGCCGGAAATCGGAGAACAGAAGATCAGTGAGCTCTTGGATGCTGTCGATACTTGGATTCCGACCCCTCAGCGTGATCTTGACAAACCTTTCTTGATGGCCATTGAAGGTTTGTGGAAATCTAACCAAGCACACGATCCTAACCCCCTGGGCTAACCTCTTATAGATGTTTTCTCCATCCCTGGACGTGGGACTGTCGCTACTGGCCGTGTTGAACGTGGTATCCTCAAGAGGGGTGAAGAAGTTGAACTCGTAGGATATGAAGATGTCCCGATCAAGACCATCGTTACTGGCCTCGAAACCTTCAAGAAGGAGCTTGATTCTGCCCAAGCCGGCGACAACTCAGGGCTTTTGCTCCGTGGTATTAAGCGTGACCAGGTCCGTCGTGGTATGGTCGTTGTCAAGCCTGGTACTACCAAGGCTCACAATAAATTCCTCGCTTCTCTCTACGTCCTTACCAAGGAGGAGGGTGGGCGCCACACTGGATTCCATGGTAACTACCGCCCACAGATGTTCTTGAGAACCTCTGATATCCCGGTCACCATCGACCTCCCTGAGGGATCTACCGACGATAGCCACAAGATGATCATGCCTGGAGACAATCTTGAGGTTCAGTGCACCATCTTCAAGCCTATGGCAGTTGACCCTGGTCAACGGTTCAACCTCCGAGAGGGTGGCCGGTGAGTTTATATTTTCCTGATTCGACTACTAGGGTAATTTCTAACCTATGATAGAACTGTTGCCACTGGCTTGGTCACCAGAATTCTCTAGGGACAGCTTATAAAATTCTAGTATTTATTTTACTTACATCATGGACATGATTTTTACCAAGCAAGGTTGAGGTGGGGTTTTTTTTCCTGTGATTATACTCTCCATTCACCATGATCCAGCACCATTCTTCTTTTTATGGGCTGGTGTAGCAACCCGCTGATATATGTCGAATCTGGTTTCATGAAAATGAATGAAAAAAAAAAACTGTTGTGCACATTCCGTAATAGAAGTACAATATTGTCGCAGAACAAGCATGATTTCAAGCAGTCGGCCGAGCAATCATGGTAACCTGTTTGCAACACCCTAGCGCCGAGTGAAGTAAAAGAAAAGTTCTAATCTATCATTACTAAAGGGTGGGTCAGTGAACTTCCGCCATGGAAACGTATCTGTGAAATGGTCAGCAATATATATACCCGCCAAAGCAATCAATTGACTCGCCCTTTATTCTCCACAACGCCACGACTCCTAATAACAGCCGTGTACTTGACCACCCACTGCGGAACCAGCTTCGCGTCAGCCCTGAAGAGCCCGAACTCATCCACGACCAGTTGCCTTAAGGTGTCAACAGGCAAAATATCCGTGCAGTCATTATGAGTCAACAATTCGATTCCCCTCTCCTTAGCGTAGAGTATCAAGGGCTTTGGCACGACACAACAATCCCTAACATTAATCTGGTCGACTGAAGGCTTAACATTCGTCTGCGGGAGCAATTGAGACAACCTAGTGGCGCCAAACTCCGCCAATCCAATTTTGGATATCTTCTTCGCTGAATGCAGACCCTCGAGAGTACGATATGTGCGAACCCATTCGCTGACGTCTTCCTCCGAGGATATGTCTTCGTCTTCGGCGTCAAAGGAGATGTTGGGGAAGGAAACGATCAATAGGTCAATAGAGGATATTCCGAGCTCCTTGCAAACTAGACGTACGGCCTCTTCGGTGTGCCTGCAGCGAGAAGAGGACGGGACTCCCGGGAGGTAGAATAATTTTACTTATGAATAATCAGTAGTTGAAATTTCTTTCTTTCGCCAGTGCAGTAATTCCCAAATGGGGCATAAGTTACCGGTCACATCGTACTCTTCTCTATCTTCTGCTAGTCCGTGCGGCTCACCACTTTCTGTAGGAACGTACAGGACCCCATCTGACCCTAATTTTGTCCACTCTTCCGGTGCCAGCCTTGTTTCCGGGTTGCTTGTCGCTGCGATGTTTGGGTTTGTGCTAAGCGGGAGTGTGGAGGAGGCCTCTTTGAAGTTTTCGCGCAAAGAGTTAACCAACTCCGTGTTTGACTTTTCGAGGGTCGGTTTGCGGATAACCTGCGCGCCAGCGGTCATGACATTTCCGGTTGAGAGAATGCATCTTGAAGCCATTATTTTTGGAGCTTCTCCTTTTTTTCCTCTTTGGTTCTACCGATAGCGAGGGATCAATGGCGGGGTAAAATCTGACGAGATGAAATGAGCGTAGGGAACCGAAAGAGACGGAAGTCAAGTGCACCAAAGGAAATTTGTGGAGAGGAAGGAGAGAAAGAGGGAAAGAAAAACTATAAATAAATAAGAAGGAAAGTGGAAAAGATTTCTCGTAGTAATGGTCTGACGCAAAGGAAAAGGAGAGAAGCATTGCTTACAAACACGTAGAATGTTTGTGGACACCGGGATTCTAAATTCCGGAGTAGTGATCGTTATTATGATGTTGTCGTCGCACGAGACGGGTGGAAAACTTGGGGGCGATCAGCCCCACCTGCCGCATGCACAAAATAAGCCGCAACACCTTCTCAGCTTACTTAATTTACCAAATAATGACATTTCTGCTACATCTCCTTTCCTCTCCAACACCCCTCTTTCATTCTTTCAACCAGTGACCTTGTTCGGCTTTTTATTTCTCTTCTATTCCCTCCAGATAGAGGTGTTCTTTTGTTTTACTAAGCTCTTTCCTCTCTCTAATGGCCATCAGGTATGTTGGCGTTTCCGGCAGCTTCGTTGGGTGCTTTCCAGTTACTGATGATCTACACCCCGTGTAGATATCTCGTCCTCCTCTCTCGCCAGGGAAAAGTGGTACGTTAAGCCAAGCATCCATCCTACGCAGAGCAAACGTCGGACTAACTCTCGGGGATGTCCTCTAGCGCTTGGCAAAATGGTTCACAACTCTTTCTCCCAAAGAGAAAGCCAAAATAGTTAAGGATGTCACTGCTTTGGTTCTCGCACGTAGGACCAGGATGTGCAATTTTCTCGAATACAAAGGTTGCCACCTCTTCACATCTATCTATTCAGTCTTAGAGAGGGAAACGAGATGGCTAATCACCCCGGCTTGCAGATTCCAAAGTAGTCTACCGCCGCTATGCATCCCTCTTCTTCATCGCTGGAATTGACTCAGGGGACAACGAACTTATTACTCTTGAGATTGTCCACCGCTACGTCGAGCAGATGGACAAGTACTATGGGAATGTTTGCGAGCTAGATATCATCTTCAATTTCCAGAAAGCCTACTTCATTCTAGACGAACTCCTCATTGCCGGTGAACTGCAAGAGAGCTCAAAGAAGAATGTTCTGAGATGTATCTCTCAAGAAGACGCTCTTGAAGACATGGAAGTGAGTCTCAAACTACCCCTCAGTCACATACTTCCCTCACTTTCCCCTTCTTCCCATACCCCTGCTTTTTCTCTCGCCGTCGTCGAGTGCCCCCCACATTTCTACTCGTTCCTTGTTTTTGATGAGTTTTATCGCGTCTGAAATAGTTGTCGTAAACCACATTAGCTCGTTCACGATTTACTTGTCGGCCAGGGTTTTTGTTGATGGTTTGTTTCTATTTTTTTTATATATTTTGGTGGAGCGTAGCTTAGGAGTGATTACTTTGGCCGGTTTACGGAATGATGATATCCATGATACATGAGAAGAGAAGGGTCAGTGGGAACGAAAGGAGAAATAAAGTAAGAGTGGGATGGAGGGCTCATATACTGGACTAGATATTAATGGCTGGGGGAAAGGTACTTTCTTTCTTATTTCCATGTAATTATTCATTTGTCGGAGTTTGGGAGGTGGGCTTCCTGGGAATGACATCCGGTAGGGTGCATATCCGGTGGGTTCTTAGTCTACAGGTAACACGTGCATTGAGACCCTCCCAGTAGAAGCTATTATAACGGTCCTGCGAATGCCGGTATGATAATTATAACAGCATAATTTCAAGAAACCCGCCACCCCACCATTCACTATCCACTTTGCCCTTGTGCTCCGAGATTAGACATGACAAGTTTGTAAAGGATGACAGACATAACCCACAATTATGACCCCTCCCAGAGAGTCCAAGACGCCTTGCCCCCCCTCCCCTAGAAACCCCAATTATTCCTCGCACATCTAAACATAAGCTACGGCACCAGTAAGACTACGATAGACTATTGACCAAATCAAAAACCCCACATTCCAACCCCACGTTACACGATCAACAGGGACCCCTCAAGGCAAAACTTTGACTTAATCAAACTCAGGGTGCATCCGGTTGTCCAGGGTTTTTCAAACCTTGATAAACCAAACTAATCACAAAGTGTGAGTTGCAGCTGGAAACCGCAATAGCCTCAAGGATTGTCATACAGTAATTGGCCTTTTTCGAACTCCAAGAAGTGTTGTCTACTGAGTAGCCGTCAGGAAAAATCAATTCAAACAGAAAATAAATAAATAAATAAATAACATATTTATTACAAGAAACACATTGGCACCCAAGTAACTTGTACTTGGGTATATTCCAATGCTTATTTTTATTTTTATTTTATTTTTTTCTATTCCAAAAATCGGTATATGATTGTTTTAATGGACTGTTGTAACAAAACCTGTGTGAAATATCATTCTAGTATGATGCTGGTCGGATCAGATTACTGCCGGTATTTCAGAGACCTTTTTTTTATTTTTTATATTTATTTCGACATCATTATTGCAATTTCAGTCATCGAGGTTTCGTGTCAACCAGACCATGCTACTCGAAGAAGTGTCTTGCAGCAAACCTCTATCTTTAACCGTGGCATTTTAAATGACGCTTTGAGATGGTAACGTACAGTACCCCACAGCAAGTCGAAACACACGGTGACACGAAACGGCTAAACAAAGTGTAGCTTAATACAAGTTATACAGCAATTACCTCTGATCATAATTCACAATTAACAGGAATCGTCTCCATCTTCAACCTCAACACCAATATCCAACCTGTCCTCATGATGTTTTTCCCTTCCACCTTTTTTCTCATCTTCAATATCCAAATTATTTAATCCTTCCAATACATCTTTCTCCTCTGCCTTTAAATTTTCATATGTGTTCTCCTTCTCTTCTACTAATCTTCGATACCTTTCTCTTTTCTCCTCCAATTTCTTCTGCACACTTCCTAACAGAACTACAGATTTATATCTTTTACCTTCTCCTTCGGGATTATTTTCTCTCTCTTGCTGCCACCTTATATTATTTCCTATTTCTGTAATTTTAGTTTGTGTACTATTATACAATCATGTATAATATTCAAAGCTACTTTTTGCTACCTTTATCTTACTTGTGTAATTAGCTTGAGTTATTTTTTTCACATCACCAGCAGAAATAGCTGAGTTATTGACCTTGATTCTTCTCTTACTCGTATTACCAAAGTTAACATTCTGTTCGATAAGGTATTGCTGTCTCTTCCACTCGGTCTCTTGTTGTAAGTAAAGAGTTGAACAGTAAAGTAATGCAGAGCAAAAAAGAAAGTGAATGGCAGCATGGGCATTTCAGGATTTTGGGGTATTTCAGTGGATACTCATCTCAGCGAATATTGCTAGCTCTATGATCTCTGACTCAGATTTAGGAGTTTTTAGCTCGTATGGTGGTGGTGTTAAAGATAAAGTTTGTGATATGGATTATGTTGGCTGATAGAAATCATATCCTAGAAGGGTTTGTAGAATCTTTTGACTATTGAAAGGATAAATATTAGTAGCCATAATGTAACGTGTTCACAAGGTGCTATTCACGTTTAGGGTAATAGGTACAATAGTCGGCAAGTGGTCTGCTCTACCAGAGAGGAAGCGAGAGCTGAGAACTAAAGAAGGCTTTGAGGGTGTACTGAGAAATAAAGGGGTAACTGTTCAACCAAGTATATGGAAATACTGTCTGTCAAAGTCTACTGTTTCCACCATAGAATCAAGCGGTCTTTAAATACACAAATCTGTTCATGTCTAGCATTAACAAAACTATTCAAAGGTATCAAATAATATACTTGAGTAAAATAACTTAAGTATTAAAATGATACTTAAAACAAAACTAAATATCAAACAATACTTAAAACAAATCAAGTATCGAAGCGATACTTAAAACAAAATATATAACAAAACTAAGTATCAAAGTGATAATTAAAACAAAACATAAAACAAAACTAAGTATCAAAGTGATACTTAAAACAAAACATAAAACAAAACTAAGTATCAAACAATACTTAAAACAACCAAGTATCAAAGCGATACTTAAAATAAAATATAAAACAAAACTAACTAACTGTGTACCTGTACTGGTTACACTTAAAGCCACTTAGTATATTGTTTTTTGTCAAACTCCCTGCCCATACCTACTCCAAAACCTCCCAAAAGCTTTCTATTTTCACAGTATGGTTTCTCCATTGAAACCTCTCCCATACTGTATCTGTCTACTTCCATATCAGTGGACTGAATAGAGCAACATCTAAAGGCTGTAACTTATGCGTAGTATGTGCTGTCAAACAGAAAGGAATGATGTGGTTTTGTAGACAATAAAGAAGAAACTCCTATGTAACATGTGAGGAATGCCCTTTGAATAAAAGCATGCAATCTTGAGATGGATAATTAGCCTTAATTGCTGTAACCAGTACGGGTACTCGGTTATTGGTTTTGTTTCATGGTTTGTTTTAAGTATCGTTTGATACTTGGTTTTGTTTTATGATTTGTTTTAAGTATTATTTGATACTTGGTTTGTTTTAAGTATCATTTAATACTTGGGGGGTGTTTTATGTTTTATTTTAAGTATCATTTTGATACTTAGTTAGTTTTACCAAAGTGTATCAATTGATACCTTTAATTAGTTTTGTTCATGCTAGACATGAACAGATTTGTGTATTTAAAGACCACCTGATTCCACGATGGAAAAGGCAGACTTCGACAGACAGTATTTCAATATACTTGGTTGAACAGTTACTTCTTTGTTCCTCAGTACGCCCTCAAAGCCTCTTTCTGTTCTCAGCTCTCACCTCTTCTCTGGAAGAGCAGGCCACCTGCCAACTATCCTATCTATTACTGCTAATGTGATTAGCACTTTGCCAACATGTTATAATTGCTGTACTTGTACCTGGTCCAAAATTGTGCTCAAGATATCGGAAACTGTTTTTACGATCTGTCCTGCCATTTTCTGAAGAACTAACCAGGATCTCATCTGGTATTGAAAGATTACTATTTTCTTCCACCATCAATTGCCTGTAGACCTCCCTTATGATGTTATAGATCTTTATCACAGATGACTTGGCAGGATTGTGTGAATCTCATAAGATATCTAATTTTATCTAAATTGTAAAAACTTTCTAGTCTATTATGATACTTCAAAATAGTGGTTTCAAGCTGATTAAATTAGGTATGTACAACATTTATAATAGAAGTACATACTCATTCTGTAACTGGTACGGGTACTCGGATATTGGTTTTGTTTTATATTTTATTTTAAGTATCGCTTTGATACTTGGATTATTTTAAGTACCGTTTAATACTTGGTTTTGTTTTATGTTTTGTTTTAAGTATTGTGTTGATACTTAGTTAGTTTTACCAAAGTGTAACCAGTACAGGTACTGGGTTATTGGTTTTGTTTTATGTTTTGTTTTAAGTATCACTTTGATACTTGATTTGTTTTAAGTATCGTTTTGATCCTTAAATTAGTTTTACCAAAGTGTATCAATTGATACCTTTGAGTAGTTTCGTTCATGCTAGACATGAACAGATTTTTGTATTTAAAAGACCCCTTGATTCCATGATAGAAAAGGCAGACTTTGACAGACAGTATTTGAATATACTTAGTTAAACGATTACTTCTTTGTTCTTTAGTACATCCTCGAAGCCTCCCTTAGTTCTCAGCTCTCACCTCCTCTCTGGAGGAGCAGGCCACCTGCCAACTATCGTATCTTTTACCGATAATGTGATTAGCACCTTGCGAACATGTTACATTTTTTTAACCTCAGCAAGTGGTTAAGAACCTGTCTCCGGATTTAGGCCTAATCAACCTATCGACATCTACCAGAACGCTAGTGGAGAGAAACGGCAGAATCACAGCACATTCAGCTTTGTCTGAAAACCAACATAGAGTCATTGAAGACCAGGAGTGGGAAGTAAATCCTATGGCAAGACATTACAAGAAAGAAACAACCCCAGTGCTCTGCTAAAGAGCCGTGAGAACCTGCAAACATGGAAGATATACAACCTCCAGGAGGATTCTTTTCTACCCTAGCACAGAAGCCTTCTTTTGAACCTCTAATTGACTCCGAATCCAGTAGCGAATCAGTTATGGCTAGTACGGGAGGAGGACCTTCAGGAGGAGGACCTTCAGGAGGAGGACCTTCAGGAGGAGGACCTTCAGGAGGAGGAAACTCTCAGGCTCGGCCTGAAGAAGAAGAAGTAACCAAGGCATTTGAACCCCCTAATTTCAAACTCCACTTCCCAGCGAAGTTTACAGGAGAAGGAAAAGACCTCAAACCTGAAGCCTTTGATCGATAGGCGACGGAACTCACACACTACCTTTTGCTACAAGGGAAAGATGTGGAAGACCTGACAACCAGACTATACATTGGATTATTCTGCGAAAGAAAGACAACTGACGCATACCACCAATGCTATAAGGAATACGGCAGAAATGTAAGATTAAGAGGATCGACTATTCTCGATTACCTGAAAGGACGCTTCTAATTCTCTCTTACAAATGACCTCCTGTACAACAAATTCAACCAGCTCTACCAAGTAAATGGAACACATGTTAAAAGAATCACAGACATAGCTACAGATCTCCTGATGTATAGGAATCGAATAAAGAAAGGAAGCATGTCTGGCTACATTCTTAAACGGCGATTCTATAATGCCATGCATCTAACCCTCCCGCAGGAGGTAGAGCCACTCAAGGAAGATGATGATAACATTGCAGCAATTATCCAAAGAGCAGAATGAAAGAACA